GGGACCTGGCTGTGGGATGGGATTTAATGTTCTGCAGGTGAAAGAGACACGATGCAGCCTGTGACTTGCAGACACTTGATGTCATGAGCAGCCAAACTGCAGGTTAAACACTGCTGGCTGCGGGGTGTTATTCCCAGGCAGGGTTTGGAGCAGTGGTTTTCACTGTGCATCCTCTGGAATGTTTTTTTTCTGCAGCAGTGGTTGGGATGGGGGAGAAAGGGAAACGATGCCTGAGCCCTCACTTGCCCCACCGAGCAGCGTCCCACCATTTCTGTTAAGATGAAAGAAGCTGAATAAATACTTAATTTCAGACATTTGAGAACCATCCTAATTGTTTTACTACAGGCTGCAGGGATACACAAAGTGCTGGTAATTCCCCTTTGCCTGCTGTCGGCACGGCCTGCAGCTCTGTGAGCCGAGCTGGTGGAGTGCAGTGCTTGGGGAGGCTCCATCAAACCTCCATCTGGAGACTTCATCTGCTAGGGACCCTCTCCCGTGTGCTGCATGCGGGGCTTGCCAAGGGGCACGTTGTTGAACCTTGCTAACTTTGCCATTTTCCTGCTTTTTTGCTGTTTTCAGTGTGTGCTCGTTGGCCTGGCTCGTAGAGCTCTGGGCAGAGGTGGCTTTGGGCACCTCCCAGTGTGATTAACAGGATGAGCATGCACTCAGGAAAAAGGTGCTTGAGGATGTCATACTGGTTGGGTTTTCAGCTGGGCGAAACCATGAGTTTTGCTGTTTGAGATCTGTTTTGCAGCTTGCAGGTTTTGTTGATCTCAAGGTGATTCATGGTCTCAGCACGCAGCAGTGCTCGGGGAAAACTGTAAGTGTGTGAGGTTTTCCTGCTCAGGGCTCACACAAACCCCTTCGTTTCCCCTCTTTAACTGCACTTCCCTGGCTGGTTGTTGCTGGTTTCACAGCAGGATGCTTCTCCCCAGCCTGGCTGGAGTGGGGACGATGCAAAAAGAAACCATCAGATTTGGGGCCACACCTCCAGCTAAAGGCATTTTGCCTCTTACACGCAAGTGCTGCTGCACCCATGCACCCAGCTGACAGCAGCTCTGTTTTCTTGAGCATGAACATCCCCTGTGCTGGAGCAGCCCTCGGGTCACTTGTCAGCTGAGCTCGTGGGGAAATTTGGGCGAGCCCTGGGGACGATGCAAAAAGAAACCATCAGATTTGGGGCCACACCTCCAGCTAAAGGCATTTTGCCTCTTACACGCAAGTGCTGCTGCACCCATGCACCCAGCTGACAGCAGCTCTGTTTTCTTGAGCATGAACATCCCCTGTGCTGGAGCAGCCCTCGGGTCACTTGTCAGCTGAGCTCGTGGGGAAATTTGGGCGAGCCCAGTCGTGCAGGTGTCTGTTGTAGCTGCTGCCAGCTCCTCCCCAGCAGCACGAGGGTTGTGTGCCGTCGGTCCTGTCAGTCATGCTGGTGCCTGCTTTGTTTGCTGTGTTTCAGGGTTCACCAGGTCCCCCAGGGCCACCGGGCCCCCAAGGTGCTCCAGGTCCCAAGGTGAGCCCCACCCCTGCCATGCAGATGGTGTGACATGGTCACAGCAGCTTTCCATGTGGCAAGTGTCTCCCAAGCCAAAATGAGGCAGGAGGTGCTGGGGCTTGAGACTATGTGTGGTTAAATGCTCTTTAACACTTTCTCAGGCTGAAAAAGGTGGGTTTTAGAAAAAAAAAGTTTTATTGACCTTTCTCTGGTCTTCAACCTGTTCTGGGGGATGCTGCCCCAGAAACAAATCCCCTCCCAATCCCACACCTGGTGGGTGAAATCCCAGCCCCTCCGAGATTTCCTCTCTGCATGTGGCAGGCGACAGAAGTAAATGGGAGCAGCAGCTGAGGAGGAGCTGGTGGTCCCAAAAGCTGTGCTGAGCCACTCCATCCCACCCACCCTATGTGCCACCAGCTGCCCCAGCACCATGTGTGAGCAGGACTGCTCCTTACTCCTGCTTCACCAGCAAGAGCAGTGACCTCCAGTCAGCTGGAGTTTCTTCCCCATGTGCCACCAAGCTGCCCCAGCACCATGTGCAAGCAGGACTGCTCCTTCCTCCTGCTTCACCAGCAAGAGCCAGTGACCTCCAGTCAGCTGGAGTTTCTCTAAGAGAAGAATTTAACCTATAGAAAAGCATCTCTTGGAAGTCCAAGATGGGGTGGGAGTCTGGTGCCTCTCAAGGTCTCCGTGCTGCCCAAATTTGGATGAGCCAGGAATGTTGGCACATCACAGAGACCTTTCTCCTGAGCTTGGTAACACCAAACCTGTAACAGCAGCGGTCGATACACGTGAATAATTCACTTCCTTGCAAAATCCTTTCCTGGGATGATCTCCTGACTCGATGTACCACGGGTTCCCCTTTCTTTCTTTCCTGGTAACACCAAACCCGTAACAGCAACGGTCAATACATGTGAATAATTCACTTCCTTGCAAAATGCTTTCCTGGGATGATCTCCTGACTCAACGTACCACGGGTTCCCCTTTCTTTCTTTCCTCCAGGGAGAGCTGGGCTCGCCGGGTCCACCTGGACTGGATGGTGAAAAGGTGAGTGGGGCACGGCTGGATGGAGCCAGACTTTGCAGGAGCTGAGTTACAAAGGAGTTCACTGTGTGTCTGTGAGAGCTGGCACTGAGGAAACCAAATCTCAGCCTGCCAGGAGCAAGCTCTGCCCTGTAATGTTCAGTTGTGCCTTCTTGAATTAATTGCTCTTTGCTGTGCTCAGCCACGATGCTGCTGCTCGTGGCTACGTCTGCTGAGCTAAAGGGGCTCCTTTTACAAGCAGTTTGTCAGATGCTGTCTCAAACTTTGTCATAAACCTTCAAAACCCTAAATGGCTTCGATCTCTGCTACAGCCCAGCCAGATTCTGCTGCAGCCCCAGAATGGGCGTGCAGTTTTCATGTTAAAACGTGTTTTCTGAGCTCCTGCATGACACAGAAACAGCAGAAAGGCAGCAGTGGCTGGGAGGGGAGGGGAGGGGGATTTCTTGTAACAGTTTTTCTCCTAAGCACCTTGTTTTCTGCAAACTTCCAGGGTCCTAAAGGAGCGAAGGGCGACCAGGGCAGCACAGGGATCACAGGCCAGAAAGGAGAGACAGGAGAAATGGGCTTAGCAGGTCCACCGGTAGGTCCCTTTCTGTCCCTGTGCGTCTGCTGCGGGGTCCTTTAACGTGTGGCTGTCTGCAGAGGCTCAGGAGGTGGCCAGGTCTGCTGGTCTGAGCAGTGGCCTGTCCACAGCACGTCACTGCCCAGCTGGAGGATGGTGGGAGCTTTGAATTTTCACTGCTCAGGATGATGGTGATAATGGCTTATTCAGAAGGTGACCTAAGCCGGTAGCAAGGAGGAGAAAATATTGTCTCAGAGGCCCCTGGGGGTGAGCGTGGGCTTTGCTGGAGGCAGGGCTGGGGTTTAGGGGAAGACAACGTGGTTTTCTCTCATTTTCACTTCCCTGGAAGACGCGCCACACCAACATTACATTTTTATCTTCTAGGGAGCAGAAGGGCCAAAAGGAGACAAAGGAGACGCTGGGTCACCGTGTTTGCAGAATAATCATGTAAGATTGTGGCAGCCTAAAGCCTCTTCCATGGTGTGGGGTCAGGTGAAGTTGGGGGGTAGAGGCTGGAGCCATCAGTGTAGGGGAGGAGAGCAAGACCCAACAAGAACTTCCAGATGCATCTAAGCAGGATTTATTCCTTAGGGAAGAACACTTTGCAGGCTTGGCACTACAGAGTTACTTCAGACTTTGCATTGATGGTTGACATATTGGATGCTGCTGCTATAATTACCTTTTGTTCTAAAAACATACCAGGCTCCTTGCAGTTTTATAGGATTTCTGCATCTTTTTTTCTTCCTCTTTCGTGCATTTTGATAGTTTTTTTATTAATGACATGAGAGCTCTAATTTGGTTCTGGCTTGTTGTGGTTTTTTTAATCACAAAGGCTGGTTTCCTCCGGTCCATGCAGAAAATTGCCTCATTTTCCATTATATTCATTTTGTGACTGGCAAATACACTGAGCAGCCTGGGTCACGCCTCTCATTTCAGAGGCTGGCTTGATGCATCTGCTTATTCACATTCATTTATTTATAAATAATACAAACAACTCTTTGATTAGAGGGTATTTTGATTAAAGCCATCAAACCAGAGGGCATATAATAATGATTCTGGGCCATGTGAGTTTGCTGTTCCTAGACTGTCTTCTCTCTAAGCCCAGCTCTGTTAACATTTAATTCCTTTCTGCAGATCATACCTGAGCCTGGACCCCCCGGATTACCTGGCCCTATGGTAGGACTCTGAGCACTGCTGCAGATTTGTGACTGCTTGTGATTAGTTCAGGACAAGGGTGGTTTGCTCTGTTTAATCATTGTGGGCTGATGTGAATCCAGGGAAAAAAAATCAGGGAAGAGCTACAGCGTTGGGTGTTGTGTTTGGAGAGATGGTGGCACGAGATTTAGTAGAGCACGTTGGTGTTTGTGGCATGTTTTGAAAATAACCACGATATTCCTTGGAATGAGGAAAAGATAAAGCCTTGTGGGATGGGAAAAGCTGTTCCCCCATCTTGGTGTCTGTCTTCCCATAAATTTGCCCAAGTTGGTAAGTTCTTGCCATCAATTGCAGGAGGAAAGGGTGCAGGTGATGATTGCAGAGGTTTATTGTTGCACATCACACAAACTGGCCCTGTTCAGTTCCTCTTCCCCATGATTTGATGTCAGAGAACCAAATAAACTGCCACCTGTCTTGACAAGAAATATTTGGCCATTGTCAGCCTGTAATTTGAGCAAGACATAGTTTGGGAAACAGACTTTAGGCTTTGCTTTTTAAATTCTGGTCTTCAAATGCACCATTGTCTTTCCCGCAGGGTCCTCCAGGAATCCAGGGACCTAAAGTAAGTCAGTAAGTTAAATGTCACCCACTGTTTCCAGGCTGCCAGTGCATTATTTACAGGCTTACAAAGGCCTGTCAGCTCTGGGGACTGACTTTTTTGTCACCGTTTGTGACAACACATCCCTCAGTTGTGCTGTTCAGCAGCTGACGTTTTGGAAAACAAGCCATTTTTCCTTCCAAACACATTTACAATCTTAAATCCTCCTCCAGCATGGAGTCTGAGGGCTGGTGGCACATGCAAGTCAGGGTTTCCAAACCTGCAGGCTCAAGCCTGTATTTTCAACTGTGTTCTTTTATGATCTGGTCAAGAGGCCAATGTGAATGGCTGGGTGGTATAAGCATCCCAGAGCTGGGGGAGGACGCAGCGGTGGATGCACGGGGTGGTTCTCCTGGGCAGGGCTGCCAGGTCATCTCGGTTGATGCCATTTCATTTATGCAGGGCTTGGATGGTGCAAAGGGAGAAAAAGGTGCCAGTGGTGAGAAGGGGGACCACGGCGACGCTGGACCTGCTGTGAGTTGCTGTCCCACGACTCAGTTCTGGCCATGGACACAAACCTGCCTCATGGCAACTGTCCCACTGCCTTCTTTCCCTTCTCTTTAAGGGCCTCCCGGGTGCGCCAGGGCTCATCGGTTTACCCGGTACCAAAGGAGAGAAGGTAGTTACTGGTGTGGGAAAGGAGCAGTAACCTTGTGGTGTAATCCCAAAAGAGGGGCTGTTAAATCCTGCCGTGGTGGGCCCAGCCAGAACTGCAGAGCTGGGCTCACCAGCACTACCCTGGTCCATGGTGAGGAGCTCCCCTCAAACCCAGGGGCTGCTGTTGAGCCCCTGTTGCCACTGCCATATTTTTCCAACTGGGTGCAAGTTTGCCTGCAACACCAAACTCAATACAGCGTGTCTTAATTCTTGTTTTTACAACTGCAGGGAAAGCCAGGGGAGCCAGGATTGGATGTGAGTATGGAAAACATTAATGGTCATATGTAGAAACGTGAACAACATGCATGTAAAGGCCATCAAACTGCTTGAGGTTGTTGGAAGAATACATAGCTAACACTCTACAGCCTGCTGTCCTTTAAACAGTGCCTGTGGAACCATGTCTGTAGGGAAGGGCTTTATTCAGGCCAGGTGCCAGAATACTTCCACTGCACAGCAGTAACTGCTCAGCTAAAGATGCTGTGGGGGTTTCCCTTTCCAGATGAGAATATTTGTATTGGATTGAGTGAAACACAAACCTCTAATAGCTGCAGTGTTGCTGGGGTATGGTAAAGCTACTAGTTTTCCCAAAAAACTGCTGACATCCCAAGTCAGCAGAAAGAAAATGTCCTGTTCTTCACTGTGGGAGGATGGGTTGATAGCTGGAGATTGCTTATGTTGAATTGAGATGCTGGGAGATTCACATGCTAAACTTACAAACCCTTTCCCCTCTCCCCACACCTAAAATTGCCACAACAGGGTTTCCCAGGTCTCAGAGGAGAGAAAGGAGAGAGAAGTGAAAGAGGAGAGAAGGTGAGTGAGGTACAGCTGGAGAGATGCTCACGGGGGCAGGACTGGCTGCTCTTTTTGGCAGGCAGCAATACTTGCCCTGGGTGCAGGTTCCTTTTCCAGCCTTGCAGTTTCTCACCTCCCTGCTGTGAGGCCCTTTCTTTGGCACGAGTATTTGCCCAGTCCCAGCGTAAGGCAGGACAGGCAGTTAATTCCTGCCCACTTGGAAGGGCTTTCTGCAAGCCTGTCCCACCTCCCAGCACCACCATTGTGGGGAAATGGAGCAGCCTGACAGCTCCAGGTTGTAAAGAAATGTTACTTTTCATTTATAGACCTCTAAAATGGATCCAAGTTAAAGGTTTTGCTACAGGGATCCTTAAATAAAGGGGAGCCCAGCTGAGCGCAGGGCAGCAGCTGAAAGCTGATGTTCCCACTTACTGTCAGATACTGGTTTCTAGCACAAACCAGTCATTTAGTCATCCTGTCATAAAATTATCTACTAAAATATCTCCTCCCAGCTTTCATGGGAGATATTCCCAGTGATGGAATGACTGGGCTGAGGTTACACTAGTGCAAACACCCCGGGGCTCTGGGTGAGGCGGGGCACTCTGCAGCGCCGTGCCACTGAAAGCCAGAGGGTTTCCTCTCCTGTTCATGATCTTTTCCTGTTGTGCCAACAGGGTGAGCGAGGAATACCGGGGAGAAAAGGAGCCAAAGGGCAGAAGGGGGAACCAGGCCCCCCGGGACTGGATCAGCCTTGCCCCGTGGTACGTCCTTTATTTCGCTCATCCGAAGCGCCTTGCCAGGACTGGAGAGGAGACGCAGCTTGGCAGCCAGGGAGAGGGAGGGAGGATTTGGTAGTTCTTTATTTTGCAGTAAATCAGAGCAGATGGTTATTGTTTTCTCACTTTTCTTAATGGTTTGTTTTATCTGCACTGCTGGAAGCTCACTGCTCGCTGTAAGGGCTCCTCACTGGCCAGATGGGAGTGAGCCACAGCAGTAAAAATAAGAATCTTTGTCTAAAGACCTTCTTATTGTAGTTGGGAACAATGGGCTTCAGTGAGGCTCTTCAGGAGATAGCGTGGCCTGGTGAAGCTGCAGGCCTGGCTCCTGAGAGTGTTTGGAATCGGGGAGGAGCTCCATGCAGAGGGTGGGAGGTGATCTGGAAGCAGGGTCAGCTCCATCCCTCCACCTCTGGCAGCTGAGCGAGGGATGAGCCCAGCTCCGGCTCCCCTGTGGGGACAGGGGCCAGAGCTGATCAGATCACACCAAAGAGAAGTGAGGTAGGAGCTGGAGCTCCCCAGGCTGCTGAGAAGAGACCTCCCTGTGCTTCCTGTGTCAGCCCTTGGCTCAGGTCTGTCCCTGCTCAGACACGTCCCCAGGCAGCACGTAGAGAGAGGCTGTCCTGGAGGCCTCCTGGGTGTTTGAGCCAAGGAAGGTGGATCTCCCAAGTCCACTTCCAGAATGTCTCATCCCTTTGATAGGGCCCAGAAGAAAAAAAACTCTATACTGGTTTATAAGAAGTTACTTGGCCTGGTAAAATTGACCATCTTTTCATTCCTATTTTTCATATAAAGACTAAAACTAGAGAGATCCCTTCCCTAAAATGGTTTGAGGCTACAGGGTAGAAGAGTGATTCATATCAACTACTGAACTAAAACTACTGAAATGTAGCTGTTGGCCCCAAGTTCAGCTGCACCTAACTAGTAGTGCCACGTACCTGCTCCAACATGCTCCAAAACCCCATTTCTTTTCTAAATGGGTGATTTTCCTCACCCCTCCAGCTCAGCTATAGCAATCAAAGCTGTACAACAGCTGCACTAGGCCAGCAAAAATCTCCTTCAGTCAGTATGCTTCATTTTGCTTGGAGATTTGAGTATGAACTACCATTAATTTTTTCATTTCTCATGGATCACCTTTCCTCCCTCAACGTGTTGGATGATTTAACCCTCATCTTTTTCGCTGCGCTGTTACAAACATGAAGCTCTGGTTTGTGTACAGAAGATCTCTCCCAGATGACAGACTCTGCATGTCTGAGAATCCCCTACCATAAAACCACTCGGCTGACTTGCCGTGTCCTCAGAAATGGAGTTGTGCGATTCTGGACCCGTCCTCCTCCACTGAAACACTGCTCAATTAACTCCCATGTCCTTTATCATTCTCAACAAGCAGTTATTCTTCCAAACAGGGAGCTCGTAGCCTTGCAGGCAGCAAAAGGGACCCAGGTTTGCCAGGCCTGGATGGGCTGAGTGGCCCCTGCCCGTTGGTACAGTACCTGCTCGTTTGCTTTCTTGCATGGCTTGTGTGTGCTTCTGCTGTGGCCAAGCCCTGTCCCAAGGACGTCCCACATCCCTCCTGGGAGGAGGAAGAGGACACAAGGCAGCAGAGCTGGGACAAGATGTTTCACTTTGGCATTCAGGGAAGGACACCAATGTGTTGTGCCTTCTTCCCACAGTTAAAATGACTTTAAATAAGGAGTGTAAGCAATGGCAGATCACATAGGGGATACCTGCCCCTTTATGATAACAGATGCTAAAAGAGAGTTCTGGTTTCTCTTGGCACCTACGGCCCAGTTTGGCTCCCCAAACCAAACTGGTTTGTTTGGTGCCTGTGCTGCTGTCACCCTGCGAGTCCAGTTCCCAGCTGGGTTTTGAAAAGCCTTCTCCAAATGAGTGGCCAATTCTGCAGAGCTTAGGTTGAAGTCCAGCAGTTATGCAGGAAGGTTCACGGTCTTCTCCCTGAAAAGGGCTCTGCGTAACTAGCTAAAAGAGGTCATTGTTTTATTTTCATTTTTTTAACCATAGAAAATGCTGCATGTTAGATGATTTGCAGTTGTCTTCAGAGAAACAAAAGGGCAGTAAGCTGTCTGGCTTTCAGAAAGTTAAATTACTTTCATATGTGTCAAAGAAACCAATTACTAGCAGCAGGCCTTGCTTCAGCTCTTCATATTGACTCCCCAGAGATGGAATATTTACCAAGCATCTCCCATCTTAACACACAGAAAGCCCAAGACCTATCTGTACTACAGGCACTGTAAACTGCAGTAGGTGACTTCTCCAACACCTGCTCCTACGTGACTAGTTAGTAAAGCACTTGTGCATCTTCCCACTTAGGCACACGAGGGTGAGCTGCATGTTGGCTGGGAGAGTTGTCTCCATCCTCCAGCCCACCATGTGGTGGAGGCTTGCTGGGTTCTCAGTGATGGCTTTCAGTCCAGGAGCATGAGCCTCACACGGGTTCCAAAGCTCTTTTTAAGTTGATGAGATGTTTTGGAATCCCTCGAGTGAACCAGGAGAAAGGTGTGGAGGTTTATGGTGCCCAGAGTGCATGGGAAGGAGAAGAAGCCTGAGGCAGAAATCACCCCCATGACCATCAGGGTTAGGGTCAGGATCTTTCCAAGTCAGACAGTTGCTCTGCACCTTGTCCCTTTACCCTTCACCCCCCAGACAACATACAAGTTGCACTTTTTTTAATGAATAATTAGGGATCAAAATTTTTACTGATGTCAGCAGAAAAAGGTGTGTGTTTTCTAACTCATGTTAGAGGAAACCATGTGAAAATAAGTTGACCTGTTAGGCTATGAGTAGCTGGAGAGGGTAACCTTACTTCACTGCACCTGTTTTATTGGGCATAGGCTATTTTACATATAAAATCAATACAGAATACAAAAAATGTGATGACTGACATTTACAGTAAAAAATGTAAAAATGCATTTTGACCTCTATTTGCACTAGCAGTTCTCCCTGCTGCGTGCACGCCCTCCTGGCTTCCCACCCCTGCTGAATCTGGAGGTGGCTCTGGGGGAAGGGTCAGTGCATGTGTGCTCTCTGCAGCTCTACATGCAGAAATTCATGCAATCAGAGATCCAAGAGCCTCAAAAACATCCAGCATCAGAAAAGGCAGCTGAAGTCAGCCTGTTTCTTCTAAAGTATCTTGAAAGAGCTGGTGATACATAGTCCATCCTCTTCTAAGGGGCTCCTTCCTTTTGAGTTTTCCTCCTGGTAACTCTTCTGGCTTTCTGATTTCTGTAGGTTTCTTGTATCTCCGTCAGAAAAAGACAAATATTTTCACTCCCTTTGCATAGTCCATAACTCATCCTGTTTCAATCAGTTCAGCAACTCAAAATTTTTTAAAAGAAACTAAGTACTGCAGGATTGAATTTAACACAATTAGGATATCATCCGGGGGAAAAAAAAAATTACATCACTGCCCCCAGATGGAAAAGCACATATTAATTAACAAAAAAATACATTTCCACATCATGCTTTCCATATATATATGTCTGATGGCAAAGCCCACTACCTTATAAAGCAGATGATGAAGTTAATTAACTGTGGTTCCAAATTTTTTTTGTATTTGTTCGCATTTTCTTTTTTGGTTGCAGGAAAAAGAAAGTGGATGTTGTTTGGTTGGTTTTGCCCTGGGGTGTATCCAATTTATTGTTGTGTGTGACACATGGATTCCATTGCCTGTGTATTTCTTTTTGTGCACATACAGTAAATGAGTTCTGCATGATAATTACCGGTGCTGCTAAACCTTTCCTTCTTGTGAAGATTTCAGCTTCAGGTTTTTTGGGGTCTGACATTTTAAGTCACTGTTGACAAAAAATTAAACCTGTCAATTGAATTTTGCAGGGACCAGATGGACTGCCAGTAGCAGGATGTTGGCATAAGGTACAGTAGTAATAATAATTGTATACCCTTCAGCAGGTCCTGAGTAATTTTGTTTGCTGCATGGGGATTGTTTGCACTGCTGCCCATCCTTTAAGCAACAGGTTGTGTGCCTGGCAGACCTAACATCATCTGGAATTCTTTGCTGGAGGAGCCACTCCTGCAAAGAGTGCAGCACTCTGCAAAACGGGCTCGTGTGACTTACTCAGCCCTTCCCCTCTAGCTGGGACTCTTACAGTGGGGTTACCCCTCTGTTGCAGAGTGACAAAGCATTTCTTTCCAAAGACAAACTTCCCTGCCACGGCAGTTATAATAATCCACAACCACCACGCTGCTTCAGGGCTCCAATCAGGAAATCTGGGTGCAGGTAATTTGGACCCAGAATTTGGCAAGTGGTAAAGGCAGCCCAGGAGAATGAGGAGACGTGTCCCCCTGTGAGCTGAGGGTTTGACCCAGGCTTGCAGGAGGAGGCTGTAACCTCATTGCCCAACGAGGGCACCACACTGAAGCTGAGTGGAGTTGTTAACCCAGTTTCCAGCATGTGGTATTTGGACACAGTCTGAGTTAATAGCAAGCATGTTACTAACTGGTTGCAAACCCTGGGTTAGAAGGTGAACACACCCTTAGCACAGCAAAGGTTTTAATTCTCTAGGAAGTTATTTGTATATATTGTTAACATTAAATCTGAACGCCAATCCTTGTAATATTAACAAGGTTAGTAAGTGTGATGAGTGGAGCATTTCTTTGATTAAAATGTTTGTCTGCTTTTTTTTTTCAGTGATCTCTAAGCATGAAGCACAATATGTAAATAATGTGATATATTTTGATCTTTTTAATTTTTGTATAAAAAAAGGAGGAAAAAAAAAAACTTTTGACAGTAATATATTGACCTTTTTTTATACTGGATTCTGTCATTTATGGACTTTGAAAATACTGTAAAGCTCCCAAACCTGTAAAATACACACGATAACATCAGGATTTGATAAAGGTACCAGTGACAGTAGCTGGGAATGAACAGTATTCACTGCTAATGCTGCTGTGGGAACTAACAGGGCTGGCACAGCCCGTTGCCTGGTGTGCCTTGTCGCATGGAGGAGGGAGAATTCCCTGTCCTAACCTGGCTCTCAACTCTCTATTTGCATTGCACCTGCACGTTAAAAGGGTGAAAAAAACAAGCTGAAAACAAAGCAAAAAAGGATGCAGCCCTAGAAATGAAAGAAGCTGCTGTGTGCCATCGGGTCAGACAAGAGAAGGACTTGCAGCCTGTGGAGGAAGCCAAGCCAAGCTCCAGTCATTGCTACCTGCTGTTGATATTCTTTGGCTAAGCAGAAGAACCTTCACTACCTGTGGTTATTTTGTGCTACCACAAAAAAATCTTTTGTTTTTTTTCCCTCAAGAAGCAGCAACTCTAGGTCCTGTTCTGGGGTCTGTGGCTGAAGATGTGCAAGCTCTTTGTTACTGTGGAACCCAGGAACCCAAGTTTCCCCAAGAAACCTCCCACATACAATTTGAAAACACAAAAAGAAAACCACCCCTAGTAATAATTTCAGTGTAGAGAGTTGCAAGACAGGGAGGGCTCTGCTGAAGTCTGTTCTTAAACAACAGAGCACATAATGTTGCTGTTAGAGTCACCAGAACTTGGGAGTTTGGAGTATTTGTCTTGGTTTGTAGGGTTCATTTGCATTTGATTTTTCTTGGTTTCTGTGGTTTTCATTGTAAACTCTCTAACTCTGCACACTCCTCCTTGTCCTCTTCCTTCTCTCCCCCTTTTCTGTCTCTAAGTTACCTCATCTCAGGCACATCCCATGCAGAACAGGATAATGAATAAAAGGAGGATTATGATTTTGATATCTGCATATAGCATTAAGTCAGATCAGTTACAAATTTGCAAACTATTCCACTGTCCACATTTTTAAAGATGTTGACAAAAATAGATTGTACAGTAAAGAGCCATAGAAAATGATTTCAGGGAGGAAGAAAATGGTTTACAGCCATGTCTGTTCAGCTTACAATGAAGATCAAGAGGCAATCAGATTCCTTTACAGAGAGGAGATACTTTATATTAACAAGTTCTTAAACTGAACAAAGATGTACAAATATCCATCCAATGGGTAGAAGCTGAAGCTACACAAAAAATCAAATAAAGTCAGTCATGGATTTTTAATGGTGGGACTGGTTAATCCTAACCAGACCAGTGATGTAATCCCCATCACTTTAATGCCTTTTTGATTTAACAGATCATTTCTCAGGAGGAAATACTTCAGCCCAATACAAGTTGCCAGGCTCCTTGTAGGAGTCTTAGGTGAAATTAAGAGCCTGACCACGATATCAAACCAGATGATGTCAAGGCTCTTCGTGGCCTTGATCTCAGGATACAAAAGGGAGTAATTTTAGGTGCATTGAGTAGATCCAAACCCTTTTTTAGATTCTTGTTCCACTGCATCTCCTACAGCAGCTGCTGTCAGAGAGGACTCAGGAGAGGGATGTGACCATCCAGGGGCAATCTGCTCTGTAGAAGCTGACCTAGCCCTAAGATACTTCTAGCTCTGATACTCTGAAGAACAGCAGGAAGGTGCTCAGTTCTCCACACAGGTAGGGTGATGTTTGACAGATGTTTGCACGTTCTTATCTGTGACTGGGTCCTAGGTGTCCTCATCTTTTAGTCAGCTGGGAGCAGTTGTTATCTGCTGGTAAATGCTGAAATGGCCACCTAGTTTTGGTAGATGTGGACACAAAAGGCTTATGGCTGTAGGCAGTGAACTTTTGTTACCTGTCTTTGTTAGCTGCTTAGGGTCTACACCTACACATTGCTTGCTTTGTGGGTTTACTTTGCATCTTTACCAGTTACTGACTGCTTTCTTGGTCACCATATAGGTTAAATCCATGTAAAATTCAGATCAACTATAACAAATCAAAAAACAAGAATTATGTAACTCAAAACAGCAATGAAAATGCATTTTATTTACTTCCATTTTGTGGTGTTAGCTATCACTTTTGGTGTAGGGGTTTTTAAAGGCATAAGGAGCAGCTGAACAAGCTCCTGCTGGCTTTTAGTGCTTTTGAAAAACCCCCTTACTGTCCCAAATTAAAGCTAAAAATCTTCTTCTGTGGAAGGTTGAAGGCAAATCTCTCATTGATGTCAGCGGGAAGAAGATCTGTAATTGTTCCCTTAATGTACAGTTGCTCTTCCTATCTCCTCCAGTCATCTCCAAACTAAAAGCAATTCACTACTCCACACCACACCGTGGGCTTCTACACTCCAATTCCTGCCCGTGTCCTGTTCGTGGAACCTCTGTCAAGATCAATGAGAGTTCAGTCCCCAGAATGACCGCAGAAAGCACAAGAATCTGCAAGTGTCCACAAACAATCTACGATGCAGATAGAAAAGTCTTGTTTTACATACGCTGGCAAAAACTAAACAGCTTTCTACCTAGCTCCTACTTGAAGTTTGATATCACTGAAGCTACAAGACAAGCTAACCTCCAAAGCTTATGAAATTATATTAAAATTTATATTTTCTCTGAGGAAATACCCCGAAGTCCTATTATCTTCAGGTAAACAAGTCAGTATTCCGTCTTCAACTTGTGGAATATCCAGTGCTTGTAGGCATCAACTGTGACCACTGCCAGGCCTGCAAAACATTGATACAGAATACCAAACAGTGCTTTACCTAGTGCTCTGCTGGCTCTGCACGGCAGCCGTCCCCCTCCCAACACAGCCTCTGCTGCCACAGAACCCAAGACATTGTTCCTAAGAGAGGAGGAGAGCTCATTTTTAATCAACTAAACCTCTTCACCGGGAGGACCTCTGGGGATCTGCTGCTGGTACATGTGCTCTACCAAGCCCTGCTGAGACCTGTGGGGAGCAGAGCTCCCAGGAACACGGTGAGGCCACCTGCACTTGAAAGTCCTCCCCTGGTCCTCAGCTGAGATCGGGGCACTTGGGCTTTATATTCTCAACTCCACGTTCCTTATTGAGTGCATCATGCAGATCAGTGGACTTTTGGAAGAACTGTTGATTTCTGTAGTGATTGCACAGAGTCTAAGAGGAAATCTGTTTAGACTTCTATGTGCTTTCTACACAGACACATTTAGAAGAGTAGGTTGCTAAATGATAAATTGTTTCAGAGCGGTCATGATCTTATTGGGAAGAGTTTAAAAAAATATGTGCTTTGCTCAGCAAATTCATGCCAGGTCAGTTGATTATTTCTCCTTCCATATGAAAATGTTTATGTGGGTCTTTTTGAATACTTTGAGTTTGCAAATAGCTCACAAAGATAAATTTTACTTTTAGGTAGTTCTGGCAGTCTCACTCAGAACTCAGTAGTTATCTCAGCCTCTCACAAAGCCTAGTACATTTTTTCCCCCTTTTTTCTCCCCTCTGGTTTCAGTGACTGTAAGATTGTTTTACAGGAATTCAGAAAGGCAGAGAAATGTCACCACTGGCTGTCAGTAACTATTGCTGTGATGTGATGACTGACAGGGAGGCTGCTAATGCTCATGAAATGTAAGTCAGCTTGAGACTCAGCCATTGATTTATCTTGATCACTATAATATTTACTACGTTAGCTTCATGGATTCATCAACAGACATTTTGGGTAACATGCTTTAGTTACTGATCTTGGGGGAATCTGAAGCCCAGCTAAATTTGTTTTGTCTTTGTTTCCTGGTTTACAAACCAAAACCCCTTAGTCTAATGTAGCCAACCATGGGAGCATGGTGATTTGCACTACATTAAGATACCCACATCTGCCTCCTGCCCAGGAGCAGAGGACAAGCAGCTTGCTTTAAGGCTTGTTCTATTTAAAATTATGGCTTAACAACCCTCTTTCCACTTCCTACCAACATCTTCTTTCTATACCGCTGCAGCCTAATTGATTTTGCACACAAAGTTCCCAAACTGAGTCCTTTGGGCACACTTTGAAGCCCCTAAAAAGCTTTTCAGGCCCGAAGCTCTGCAGGCAGGGCTGCTGTGCCACGAGACGTGGCACAGGTAGGACATGCCCAGTGCCAGAGCTGCTGCTCCCTGAGGCTGTGGTGTTCTGGCCCCTGATGCTGCACCCGACCGTGAGCATGGGGAGTGCTCCCTGAAGCTTTGGGGGGAAGGGGTGTTGGGAGGAAGGGAGCATGGCCAAATAACCCCCATGTCTGTAACTCCAGCTCAGTGCTGAAAGCATGCTGGCAGCTCAAGAGGCTCCTTGCCAGAGTGTGAACCCATTGATTTGGCCTGTGCTGACAGGAACAAGTGAGATTAGAGTTTTGCAGCTGAATCATGGGCTTGGCCAGTGAGTTCAGGAGTATTTCTCAGGGTTATGAAACAGGTGACAGAGAAAAGCCAGTCTGACTCCAAACTGAAACCATTTCCAAGCCTTAATGCATGGGGAATTTAGTTTAAAAAAAAAAAAATCAAGACATTGCCACATGATTTGTTTTATTCTGATGGGGGAAGCCACCTCTGCTGTATACACTGCTCCTAACACTTGCTGTGTAGATACTGGTGATAAATTTATTTCCATATAGACTTTTCTCCTCTGTATTTAAAAATAAGAATGTTTCTTCTAATGCTAAAAGACTTTCTGATGCATTTTCTTTTTAGAAAACAAATAGATTAAAAGCTTAGATGATCCTTTAGCAAACTAGTAAGACACATGGGGGGTTTCAGCAGTTCAAGACATCCTAGGCAATGAGGAAGAGTAACATATAGAGAATGACCCAGGTCATCACCCGTGGATGCCAGAAATTTCCAGCTTTACTGTAATGGTAAATAACCATCCTTGGTCAATATAACAGTGCCTTATTAGTCTTAAATTGAGGGTGTATTGTGAAGGAGTATTGGAGCTTAGGTTTCCTGGTCACTGAATGCTGATTTAATGCTGCCCTCTACAGGAGGTAGTTTTTTAATAGACAAAAATCTCATGCTAGGATGAATTTTGTGCCAGTTTTGTGCTGTGACACTGTCCCTTAATTAACAGCACACACAGGGGTGGGGACAGCTTTTGTATAGCTATATGGTTTCAACAGATATTTGTAAAACAGGAGCACGTAAGTAGAAACTTACATCTTGTTTCCAAACCTGCTATTTCTTTCTGAGGAAACACCATCATATTCTTGCTTATTTTGGATTTTTTTTTTTTTTAGCCCAGACAATTGAAAGTATGATACAAATAACATCTCTCTGTAGTAGGTTA